CTATAAAGCTTAGTGTGTGCTGCAAATTTGGTCTAAAAAATATGAAAGGTAAGGCTACCATTTGCTCACCTAGAGTTTAACTGTACCTTAAAGCAAAACTGACATGATGATTAAATCAGCACTGTAGGTAGGAGAACCAACAAAGATCCTCTAATTTAAAGGCTATCTTGTTGCAAGACTACTGGCTTTTTCCAGCATCAATTTCTGTAATAACTGAGCAGAGTTCTTTAGACCAAGATGCTTGGAAAAGCCCAATAGGCATGGAATTCTCTTACATAAAGAGGGTGGTGGGATTATTATTCATTTCATTCTACATTCTGTGAGGGTTACTGAGGTCATGGCAGCAATTTGATCAAAATAGGGCAGAATCAGAATTACTTCTCTTTTTCTTTTCATTTGGGAGTTATGGTTATATTCTGGTTCATGTCAACAATGCAGTGGATGGAGGCATAGTCTTTGAAGACCTTTCAGCCTCCCCAGTTGTCCTTCCCTAGGAAGGGAGGGATGGAGGGAGGGAGGAAGGAAGGGAGGGATGGATGAGGGAGGGAGGGGGTGGGAGGGAGGGAGGGAGGGAGGGAGGAAAGAAAGTCCTGCCTATACCTAGCAGGACCTTTCCAAGATAGTCCAAGATTCCTAGCCATGTAATTCTGACTCCTTTGGAGGGTATCTGATAGGGAAATATTTCCTTTAAGATTTCATTGCAGGTCCTTCACAGCTTTGACATTTTTCCTAAGAAATAAACTTCAGATATGTAAATCTCCAGCATCTGCAAACTTGAACTACATCTGCAGCTGCATATTCATTAACATTTGTGGTCAAGATCATAAACCCAAACCCAGATCTCTACTGTTGCTAAGAAAAATGACTATGAGATGAAAATCTTTTCTTGTCTTATGAAATGTCTGTTTACTACTTTGTAGGCTTTTAAAAGTAGCGCTATCTTTTATATGTTTGCTTTAAAATAAGCTCCATTTAAGTGCAATGAGACATATTCTTAGGGAAGTGAATATTAGGATGCAGTCTAATACTTCCAGTAGAAACATATGCATGCTTGTTCAAAAATAAGGCCCATTGTATCCAAGCAGTTAGGAAGTGAACTGTGGTCTTATAAGAAACATCCTGTTGGTTTCATTCTCTCATTCTCCAATTTAATTAATCTGACTGTCTGCAACTTCCTCAACTGAGGAGATAAAAAATGGCCCAGATCTCAGTAAATCTTAAATCTCATGAGTGTTTTGCATTCCCTTGCAGCTCTTGTGATGCACTGAAGGGAGGGAGGGATGTTCTCAAAAGATCACACAAGCTTTTGGGATTGAGATTGATGGGGAAGGATCTGCGCAGGAAAAGGGATGATGCAATAGTTAAGACTTCTGTGAAGAAGTGAATGCGCCTTCTATAACACCATACATTGTTTTATTATAAAGGTCATTTGGATCAATGGAAGAAGGCTACTATATTTTCATTGCCCCATATTTGGTAATGGATTCTATTTTTCATTTTGTATGGACTTTGAACTTCCTAATGCAGGGTTCACACCCTTGAAAAGAACTGGCCTTGCAGAAAAGTGAGGAAGGAAATCAATGCTAATCTTCTCTTTAAATAAATGATTTCTCTCCCCTCTTTTACAATGAAGAATAAAACTCAATTGATAACTTCTCAATGTCCCAAGATGCGGAGCTTTAGTATTCTTATTTTCAGTATCCTTAATCTGAATTACTATTTTTGATTGCTGTTTTGTGTTCTGCTTTGCTTGTGTGTCGGTTTTGTTATGTTCCATTTGTGTGCATAGCTTTATCTGGGCTCCCCCTCCATTGTCCTGGAGTCCTCTAGATGGAGGGTGATCAAGAAATATTTTTAATTACTTCAGTGCAAACCATTTATAGCCCTGGCCATGCATACAGATGGATTAGATGTCTAGGTAATTTCAGTTTGGCAGTCTCTAGACAGGGTTCATGTGCTCAGATCAGATCCCATCAAAATACATTTGATACTACTACCTTTTTAATCACCCTGATTATCACAGAGACATCCTGTTGACTGGGAAGTCTGAGAGTCAAAATCCATTAATACAATGGGCAACGGGTTGGAGATGGTAAGTCTAACCATATGGAGAGATACTCACTTGCAACTTTCTGCTGGTGTTGGAATTAACATAGTAACAAAAGGACAGTGTTGGAAGGGACCTTGGAGGTCTTCTAGTCCAACCCTCTGCTCAGACAGGAAACCCAATTCCATTTCAGACAAATGGTTGTCCAATCTCTTCTTAAAAACTTCCAGTGTTGGAGCATTCACAACTTCTGGAGGCAAGTTGTTCCAACATGAGTTCTAACTGTCAGGAAATTTCTCCTTAGTTCTAAGTTGTTTCTTTCCTTGATTATCCACCCATTGCTTCTTGTCCTATCCTCAGGTGCTTTGGAGAATAGACTGACACCCTTTTCTTTGTGCTGTCTTCTCTATTTTCCAAAATGTTTCAGGAAAATTGCAATTATTGATAGTAACACTTTGCTACCATATCAACAAAGTATTAAAAGTGATGCATTGTGGATCTTAAGTATGTTAAACTTTTGAATTATCGATTTCACTATCTGAGATATCTCTGTCTTTTCGTTTGGCAAATATTTACGTGTAGTTGGATCCCATTTTGTTCTTTAAACATGTCAAAACTGAGCAAATATGTGGCATGGGATTATGATATGGCTTTCATCTTTCTAATCTCAAGGAAGAGGCAGGACAAGTCTTCATGCCATCTATATGGGTCACTTGATTTCTTGTTTGAAATTTCACCAATTTGATGTAATGTCATTCCTTTCAATAGCACTTCAGTAGTGCAATAAGATAATATAAAATGAGATTGACATCCATGTTGTTTTTTTGGCAACAATACAGAAATGGTTTTCAACCACTCAGTCTATTAGATTTTCTGCTGGTCTGTCATTCATTAGATTTGGCACTGCCTTGCTGTTTGAAGTTAGCCAAGGTTAATTAGGTATTTCAATTAAATTATGCTTTTATGAAACATTTTTGAGAAAGGAAAAAAAGAGGCAAGAAAGGGCAGCTAAACACTACATAAATAGAGCATTTACAGGTAACATGGAATTAAGAATGTTCAATATTACATAGATTTTAAATAAATATACTGTATCATAAAAATTGCAGGTAGTTATTAAAATCTAAGCCATATATAAGTATCAACAACAATAATCCACAGTAAATAAATCAAACAAAGAGATTAGGAGTCACCGAATTTCCATCCAAACAGCTGAAGATTTATTCTCATTTAACTTATCACTGAAGATATAAGAATAGTAAGAGTTTATGTTAAAAGAAATGTAACATTCATACAAGGTACAAGACCATTATAGAATTATAATTCCCAAATGGGTTAGCTATTCCAAGCTGCTGTTAGACAATAGTAAAAGTCAATGGTTAAATCAATATTTTACAAATGATCTTGGACAAATCTGCCAATAAAATGAAAAAAAAACATAGTAGTGTTTGGCAATATTTAGTTAGTAACAGCCTAAGAAAATAGATGCTTAAAATCTATTGTTAAACTATTTATGATAACCTTTTGTTCTGAAATGCTATTACTGACAACTATTGAAATATTATATACAATAAGTAATATTCAATACAATTAAGTAATTAATTGTAAATTCATTTTAACATTGTTAAAATAGTTATTGAACAAATAGTACCATGAAAAAGATGCCTTGCTTGCCTATCTTTTCCATAATATTTAAATATTTTTATTCATGTAAAAATTCTTGCATTTTTTAGTTGTATTATGCAAGGGGGAAACCAAAATCTCACCAATCATGGGTCCTTCTACCTCAAGGATGGATCAAAAATAGGTCAAAATCAAAAGTAGATATGTGGGTAAATCTGAAATAGCTTATCAAAGGATTTTCAACTTCAACCCACACATTTTTCTTCACGTTCCCAGATCACATTCCCATTCCCAATCAAACAAAGAAATAAATTGTAACCAGCAATAGACTATTACATCCCAAAACTACTGAGTTTTCATTTTCAGAACAGAATTCCTAGAGTCGAGATCTAATAAAATATATATTTTACATCGGGATAGATACTTTTAAATCTTGAGTTCCAGTAAAACAGACTAACAATACAGGCATCCAAAATATACCCAAATTTCAATGATTTTCTTCCAAGAAAGAAACTCACACCCTAGTACAAAAGCAATTTCAAGTGGAAATTTGGCATGTTCACATTTCAATGGAAAACACATTAAAGGCAAGCTAGTTCTAGTATTTGCTTATTGAGAACCAGTTTCATACAGTGGTTAGGGCACCCAGCTGGAAACCAGGAGACTATGAGTTCTAATCCCATTTTAGGTACAAAGCCAGCTCAGTGATTTGGGCCAGTGACAGTCACTCTCTCAGCCCTAAGAAGAAGGAAATGGCAAACTACTTCTGAAATCTTGCCACAAAACCTGTTGGTACTTACACAGGCAGTTGCCAAGAGCCAACAATGACTTGAAAGCATGTCTACACAGACAGACACACAGATACACAGACACACATATGTTCTAGTATTTGGATTTTAACCATGATATACTTTTGAAACAGCTGAAAATGGGCCTCAAAATACATGGAAGGAAACCTGTGCTTCCTTTCGTTTTAATGATGATAAGAATGTAATCACTAATAACTTTTCAGTGTTCAAAGTTATGGTTTCGTGTATACAAAACCATAAAAACCAAAAATAATTGCAAATCTAAATAGCATTCTCACGAAGGCTATGTTTGTTGGGGCAGCTGGGTGATGTCGACAAGAAGGCTTGTGGTTTGATAGAAACTGAAGAAGGTGATAAGCTGTTAGAGATATCTTCTGCCTTTTTTAATATCTCTTGCTTGCATAAAGGTTAGCAATAGTAATAACATTTACTTATGCTAGTTGTATTATTAATAGGCCTGGAGAATGCTTGTGATACTCACACCTCTAGTTTTGTTGGAATCTTTCTTGTTCTTTAGGTGAGGACAAGGTTGATCACAAGGACAAACGGAAGCAAGAGCTTCCATAGCCTGTTCATCCCACAGACGAAGTTTCTCCTTCACGTTGATTCTTCCTGGCCATGGATAGATCCACGCAAGAGCTTTTCCTCAACTTTATGATAGTCCTGATAACAGTACTGCTCATGTGGCTTCTGGTGAAGTCTTATCAAGAATGAAAGACTCATATTCCTGGAATCATGGAAGGATCTGCTTCTGGTGAAGGATGAGAATGCTACTCCTCATAAGTGCTTCTTGGTGTGCTCCAAGTTTCAATGTGGAAAAAAATGTAATGCATTTTTTTAAAAAATAAAAATACCTCATTTATATGTATCTAACAATTCAAATGGATCTAAGAAGGTGTACATTAATTTTTCTTCAAAGCACGGCATAAACACTCCTTTACCTGAATTTCTTTTTGTAAATGATGGGCGTATCTCATTAGAATCACGAAAGTAGCTACAAACATGACAACTCATTAATGCATTAGCTTACTGTGACTTAGACGCTCATGAAGTCTTCATTATTTCAATTTTATGTAATCAATTAGTGGACATATGCTGCTCTACCATTTGTTATCATTTGGATAAATAATAACATTTGATGCGCTTTCTGTTCTTTTTAATTGTCTTCTTGATGTTGCCTTTGTAAGCAAGCCTTTTCTTACAGGATAACAGAATGTTATGGTATTTCATGAACACTAAACTCAGATCTTTAAATATTGTTGTATGCATTCTAATTCAGCATATACAAAAGCAGGAATTTGGCAAAACACCTAGATCAGGAATGGATGAATAAACAGAGTTTTGATCGGATAACTTGTTGAAACATGAATCTTAAATGCCTGGAGGTACCATGAATCTGGAGCCTTCAACCCTGCATATCAGTGAGCCATGTCATTTCCGCACCAAAACATAAACACATAAACATAAAACCTTGCAATTGAAGAGTTCCAGAATAGGGATCTGCAGAAAGGATCTTGCAAAGGCAGAAGAAGGGCATAATATGGTGTGTTAAATCCATTTAACGTACAATCTAGTTTCTTAATTATGCACAGAAATATATCAAATAAATATACTGTATATATCAGGGGTGTCAAACTCACGTTATCAAGGCATCGTCACATGACATATTGGGACTTCCCTCCTTTTGCTAAATTGGGCGGGGGCATGGCCAGCACGTGACGGATCCAGCCTGTGGGCTGGGAATTTGACAGCCCTGGTATATATCTTCTCAGAGATTTGTCCCCTTGGGGAATCTCATTACATTCATTGAGACTTTATTCACAAATAAACGGGCAAATTCCCTGTAGACTTTTTTCTAGATTAGACTAGAAATAGTCTTCTCATTTCTCCTGTTGTCCAGAAATGGACTTCATCTTTTAAAACCCTAACTGAAACATAAAGCAAATATGATGAGTACCATTAATCCTCAAATACTTCACCATTTTCCTGCTTTTGTCACACTGGATAATGTAGTCTAAGTCTTGAGGGGTCTCATCCAAAGCTTTCAGAGCTGTATGTGACCCTGGGGTTGTCCAATTTGCAAGTCACTAAGTCCACTTCTACCCCTAATGTTAGAAGACCCATTGCATCAGATCTTCTTGCACCCTCTCAGGCTTCTTGTTGCATACATGATGCCAAACATTAGTGCATATCACACCATCCTTCCAGCAAGGTAACCTGAGAAGATGGTCAATGAAATTGACTTATGGTAAAAGAGAGATTATACATAGCCTTGACATTTAGCATCTTCAATCAAAAGAAGCAACAACTATTTCAGTAATTTGCAAATTTCTATTCCACTTCCTGGCTAGTTGTTGACCAATAGAAGCACCATACAGAAAAAAAAGTGATCTATTTTTTGTGACTTTCCTGTCACTGAGGCATCTCAGTTTCATATACTCTTCTGGTATCTATCCTACTTGAATATGTGTGTCATCACATATTCTCAGATCTCTACCCCAGCTTAAAAATACTTCCCCACCCCTTGGGAATATACATATGAAACCAATGCTTTAGTGCTTCAGTAGCTGTTGGCCTAGATTCCCTGCCTTTGCTCAAGTATGGAGCCATGGAATGTGCTTGAAATATACTTCTCATTGATTCAAAGGCCATGTTTAAAGGCAAGCAGAAAATGTGATTCAGCTGCTTGACACACATCAGAGAAGCCAGGGGAAATCCCGTCCCATGAGAGAGACAGTTGTATGGCACTTTTTAAAAATTAACAAAGAGTCCCAGCCCAGGACACTTTAGGCTTAAGCAAAAAAGCTAGCGAGAAGCAGAAATTCTATTTTTCCTATAGCTTTCCCGCCCCACTCTTTCTAATGGTGAAAAGACATGGGGTGTTTCAAGAAATACAAACTTCTTTAAAATATCATTTTCTTATCCTCTTTATTATATTGTTTCTAATATCTTAAGGCAGTGAACATACATAATGCAGTTTCCTCCTCCTTTTTTCCCTCAACCCTCCTGTGATTTGGGCTGGGCTGAGACAGGAGGACTGGCCCAAAGTCATCCAGCCGACTTCCATGCCTAAAGTGGAACTAGAACTCACTGTCTCCTGGTTTTCTAGGCTGGCCAGCACCTTAACCACTTCACTGGACTGGCTCCCTATATGAAATATAGTTAGCTATATTTTATCTTTTAAAAGGTCCATTTAGAACAGGAGTGGGCAATTCTTGGTGAATGGTAAAATAATACGTACACTGGAGCTGACCTCTACTGCTCTGTAACATTTCCTTGGTAACAATCAGAGGTGGGATCCGACCGGTGTAACTACCATTTCGGTGATTTTATACTTTACATTTTAGAGTCAAAACCAGAAGAATGGTGAGGAGCAGAGCTGCTTGAGCACTATGGGTTATAGTAAATTCAGAGATCATGATGACATAGCGGAAAAATTACCTTGGATATCCCTAAAAGTATTACATAAATTATGACTTGCTTTCTGCCTTCTTTAGAGGTCTTACTTATTCTGCATGTCAGTCCAGCCCTTTGAATCTGTCTTTCAATGTTTAGCATCAATTATGCTATTTATGGTGATGTTGGAACCACTCACTTCACTGCCACTTAAACCCTAAAGATACAAAGAGTTGCGGTTTTCAAGTGCTCTAACAACCTGCTAGTGCTTGGCAACCGTATCATATCAAACTTAAAGGGATCCCCTTTAAGATGTTTAATCCTTACAGAGAACTCAGATCTCCCTCTATCAGTCTCTGTTCCAGTTGGACTAAGGACCAGCAAGAGACTTAAATGGGGTGTTTCCAGACAGGAGATTATTTTGCACCTACATCAATCTTCATTCCATTGGTTTTTGTCCCTAGGTTTAAAAAGTGGGAAATGTAGCAGGAAGATTTATTTATTTAATACATTGCAACCCAGAGAATATAGGTCCACTGTTCCACATCTGAGCTATAAAATGGGACAAGATGGAAGGACAAAAGAGAAACTCTCTTTAAAGATAAAGGTAAGAGTTCCCCTTGCACGTATGTGCTAATCATTTCTGGCTCTAGGGGGCAGTGCTCATCTCTGATTCAAAGCTGAAGAGCCAGTGCTGTCTGAAGATGTCTCCATGGTCATGTGGCTGGCATGACTAAATGGCAAAGGCGCACGGAACGCTGTTACCTTCCCACCAAAGTGGTCCCTATTTTTCTACTTGCATTTTTACATGCTTTCAAACAGCTAGGTTGGCAGAAGCTGGGACAAGTAACGGGAGTTCACTCTTTTACGTGGCACTAGGGATTTGAACCACTGAAGTGCCAACCTTTTGATTGAGAAGCTCAGTATCTTAGCCATTGAGCCACTGCATCCCTAAAGTCTCTTTACTGTCATTCAAAGAAGATCCTTTTGCCTTTATGAACTTCCTACAAACTCTGAAATGAACCACATTAAAGTGGGTTCCCCAGATTTGGGGATGGATTTAAAATCAGCTAAATCTGGATTCTACCATATCATTAGGAAAGAAATTATACACCATTTCTCCTTAGTGAACGGAATTGAGTAAGACAGTATCATTCTTCTTCCAAACCCTTCTCTTGAAAATACTTGAGCAGAAACACTTAACATTGCTTCATTTTAAATAATGACCCTCACACACTTTTCCTGTTTGGAATGATATTGTTTATTCATATAATTCACAAATAATTAGGCAATACCTCAAATTCAAACTTGCAATGTTAGCAATTTCATAGCCTACCCTATAACAGTCAGAATGATTTTAAAAGAAATAATGGTACAGTATGAAATACCGTGGTAAATACAACTGAGTGTAGATTACCCAGGGTATCAAAGGGAGCTGAGGACAACCGAAATGGACCTGTTCCTTTGAAATCCCACTTAAAAAAAAAAGAATATTTGCATGAGCTTCATGGAAAAGGTAATGCATCTACCAGTCATTTCAGTACAATTTTATGAGAATGTTCTATACAGAATGTGCACATTTTCTTCCCTTAAATCACTGTCTTTGCTTAATAACCAGTTACGTTTGCTCCTTTCACGCATCTTTGTTAATTCCTTTCAGCTAGGAACAAAGCTGATCATCCAAGCCCAAAATTCAATAATTGAAAAATGAAGAAAATATAGTTTGTCCCTTTAAAGCAATCCAAAACATACTCGCACACAATCCAATTGCACTCAGATATGCATAAATACAACCAGTGAATTCTGCACTTTCAAAGTTTAGCTGAATACTGTGACTATAGTCCAGTATAAACCATCAAGGAATAAATCTCTCTGTTCTTTTTCTCCAAAAGGATACTTTTTTATAAGCATGGTGGTTGGCGGTGAGAAGAACATCTGATGAGAAGAACAGTCCAGCACATACCGTATGAAGGCCACCAAGTTACATAATGTTGGTGACTTGCTTACATCCATTAATTCTTATCAATTTAACTCATTCCCTCAAATTCATTCAACCTCCCTGCCATCATAGCCTCATTATAAATTCTTTATGTATGATAAAATTATTCACACATTTTTTATTACAAATCTTACTATTGATTTTTTTTTTCATGAAGCATGCACGTTTGCATGAGGGAGAAATCGTTACATTTAAATGTATTTTGTCAAGACTAGGCTGAAGTCATGTATACTGCCTTCTAAATAATATTCAATGCATGAGACCAGTTTAATACAAGCCTTTTTCAGTCCTTTTCACTTCAGTGCCATTCAGTTAAACAGGACTGAAAAAAGTTGACTTACAACCCCCTTTTTAAAAAAAGAAAACAGTTATCATAAAACAAAATGAATAAGTTAAAAGGTTTTCACAGTACAAGTTTCCAACTAAATTATTCTGTCTATATAAACAAACAAACAAACAAAAAAATCCCCCACCCAGCTACATACAGTTCTTTAATTAAATGAAATATGCAGTAGCAAAGCGAAGAGCTAAGAACTTAAAAAGTATGTCCTAATCATGACAGCTTTCAGATGTGTGAACTCCAACTCCCAGAATTCCCCAGGCGGCAGGGGCTGACTGGGGAATTCTGGGAGTTGAAGTCCACACATCTGAAAGCTGCCAAGGTTGAGACACATTGGTTTAAAAGAAAGGAAAGAAACACAGGACATCAATTCAAAGTGTTTAACACTGCAAGATATTGCAATATGAGCTCTCTTTGACAGTAACCAAACTCCCCTCAGAGCAGTGGGAGGCGGTTCTTGAAAGAGAGCGCGAGAAATGAATACTGCGTCAAGAGAAGCAGGCATGCACTTGCTGTGATCATTCAATGTATCTGCAATTTATCTCTAGATGGTGGCATAACACAAGAACCAGGCAGTGTTTCCAAATCAAACCATGGGAATGGCTACAGGTTGATCAAGCTTTCCGAGGCAGCGAAGTGAGGGCATAATGCCATATTCGGATTCTGCAGCTGCCGGATAATCCGTTTGTGGAATTTCTCTCGCACCCGATTGAACTCCATTATGTCCAGGGGGTCCTCTTCAATCCAGAATTTATGAAATTCATGCATCAAGTAGCCTACGGGGACAAAAAGTCAACGGAAATTTGAATTCAAGTGAATCAGGGTTTTCCTTTGGTGCGTAAACAGTTTTACCATTCCTCTTCTAAATATAACCTAATCCAAATGTCAATGAATGCTATGACTTTCTTTGGCAACGTGGGAGAATACGAACTGCACGGAGAGAAAGAAGCATTGCTGAAGGCAAGTCAGCCCAAATGGGCTCTCGTAAATCTCTGCCCGCATGCACACAAGACAGGTGAAAAGGACTAGTTTGGAAAAAAGCCATGTGCTATTTTTTTTTTTAATGCAGATAGAATTACAGACATTTTAATGTTGCAGTATTTAAGTGTATGTAATTACTTTTTCACCTTTTCCAGGTGCTCTTTTTTTAAAAATCAAAGTCCTAAGAGTCTTTTTTTTTTTTTCAAGAGGCAATTGGACTTTCTGGTTTTTCTTTGAAGACGTTTTGCTTCTCACCCAAGAAATTTCTTCAGCTCTGAAGCTCTTTCAGTTTCTTGGATGAGAAGCGAAACATCTTCAAAGAAAAACCAGAAAGTCCAATTGCCTCTTGAAATAAAAAAAGCACCTTTGGGACAACCAGGATCTGGGTGACTGAGAACCTCCATAGACTATTTTTTATCAAAGATATTTTACGTCACCCCAAGAAAATGTTTTTTTCTTATCATTCTTATTATCACTAACTCTTCTCCAAAAGGCCTTGACTTGTTTCTTCAGTGCAATTTTTCTAGGTAAGGACAAAACCAAAACCAAATAGCTAAGTTATTGTTTTAAAATTTAAACCATCATTTTTAAACTGTGCATTTTAACACTGCATTTGCACGAACCTAAAATCCAAACCTATAAAGTTGGAAAAAAATGAAAAAGAAGCCTGCGGTTGGAATTCTAGCAGAGCAAAAACCCAGAAGGTACAAGGATTAATTGAAAAATTTAGTTTCTTGTAACATAGGGCTGTGGGGGGTGGGGCGGGGTGGGGTGGGGAGCCTGTGGGGTTTTTTTCCTCAAAGTCTGTTTGCAAAAGTGTCCTCCAACTTTACCCAAATAACAGTAAAAACAAAACCTCCAAAACACGAACCTCACAATGTTATCCTTTTGAATGTTTTTTTCTAGCAGAATCTGTCTCAAACTAGCAATGCAGACAGCGTCCACACTGTTAGTCGAAGAGCATCTTTTGAATAAACAGTATAAAACCAAGGATATGAATGGAAAATGTAAATCTGTGACCAATGGAGAACTATTGTGCACCAGAATTTTCAATATAGAATAGAATTCTTTATTGGCCAAGTGTGATTGGACACACAAGGAATTTGTCTTGATGCGTATGCTCTCAGTGTACATAAAAGAAAAGATACATTCGTCAAAAGTCAAGAATCATAAGACACAACACTTAATAATAGTACCTTATGATTCAGGTATGGCAGCCATTTCAATCAGGTAAAATGAAATATAAATGCTGAACCAATAGTTCTTCCACAAGATCAAGAAGTCCCCAAATATATGATATATATCGGTGTTTCTCAACCTTGGTAACTTGGAAGATGCTTGGACTTCAACTTCCAGAATTCCCCAGCCAATACACATGCATACACATACACACAACTTTTGGCAGGTTCATAATGAGTAGTTCTTGACTTATGAACCACCACTTTGTGACTATTTGAAGTTGACTGTCAGATCTTGAAAAATCTAGTTACAACCCAGATTCGAAGTTCTGATAGCCAGGCCTCCATGCAGTCACATGACCATATATTTTGGGTACTTGGCATCGGGCCTGCATTTGCAGCTATATGTAGTGTCCTGACATCCCATGACTGTGATTTATGCCTTTTTGCTGGTGTTTACTTGTATTTTTTGGCAAAAAGCCATCCAGAATTATTTGGTTAAGTTGGGCAGCTATAGAAATTCGTATGAATGAATGAATGAATGAATGAATGAATGAGTGAGTGAATGACACCTCAGAGTGAGCCATGGGTTCACTTTACAACAGCAGCATTCATTTAATGACCATGGCATTTTGTTGCAAAAAAAGGATTGTAAAATCAGGCTCAGTCATATGGTGACCTGCTTAATGACCATTGTGACTTGTGACCATAATGGCAGGTTCAATTATGGTAGTAAGTCACATACAACCTATATGTACATTCAGTTTTGAAAGTATGCATCAACCCTTTGTATTTAGCAGCTTTAGATAAATTGAAATTGGGAGAACCAAAAAATCTACTTCAGTTGTTGATGGCTAAGCTTCACACAGGAAAATGCAATAAAAGGCAGTGGGAATGAATGAATGCAAAATTAATCAGAATTTGATCCGGTTACTGCAAAGCAACGTTAGTGTATTTGACACTTTGCAAAGCAACGTTAGTGTATTTGACATTTTGAAAAAAAAAGATCTGAAATGTATGACTTCTTTCTCTTGAAACCTGTTGTTGCTTAGTGAATGGAAACTATCACAGCTTTGGCTGAAACAACAAAGGAATTGTGCGATATGTTGAAATCCTGACGTAGTCAAAGTCCATGTTATTACAGAAAGAATAAGGAAGGGGCAGAATTGGAAGACAAGAATTAAAAAATGAGTGTTTGATTGTGGCAGAAATAAAACAGCACCATCTGCTGGCCTTGGCAAATAATAACAACATTTCATCCTAATGTCACATTTGCACAAATCGTCCTGAATAATGTTAAAAATTATTTAACATAAAAGTTTTAATCATCTAACGATACAGAGGAAAGTGGGATCTGGGAGACATTTCAAAACTGTTTTTTTCAGGCGGGGAGACTAGTCAACTTTAGCCAACATGGGGAAAATGTTCATTTGTTATGAGGTTTTGCATAAAACAAATTGGTTTATTTTTCCTGAAACAGATCTATTCCTTCCAAATATTGGTCATTCTAAGAACCTAATATTAGTTTTAATATAAAGCATATATTTAGTCATTGGAATGCAGCAACATTTTATGTAATTGTGATTTGAAGAAAAATTGTGCACCCGCATGCATACATAAATGCAGTCATTCTCTCTTACACAGAGAAATCCACCCACCCAACCTTTCTCTCTCTCAAACACAAATACTCACAAAATGTTTGCTGGAAATGGGCTAACGTTGGAGCTTCCGGGGCAACATTGTAGAAATGTGTCTTCAGAGCACCGCTCACAAGCAGGTTGTATGCAAGTTCTGTTATGTTGATGCCAACAATAGCAAAGGAATAGCTGCAAGAAATACAGAAATGAGATTGCAAGGAATGAAATTAAAACGGATCGAACTATGACAACTAGAAAATCCACAGTCATTTCTCTCTCTCCAAAAAGTCACATTTAACAGTTTATTTTTTCAGTTGCAATTGCATGCCACTATTTAAAATCTGAATTTGCCATCTTTTGTTGAATGTCTACTTCCTGTCTCATGCTTTTTTTCCCAACATCACAGCATGACTGGAAAAGAGTATACAGGTAGTCCTCAACTTATGACCATTCATTTAACAACTGACAGTTATGACAGTGCTGAAAAATGGACTTACAACCAGTCCTCTCGTTTATGAACCCTGCAGCATCTCTGCAGTCACAGGGATTTGCACACTGGAGGGTCTTTTCACCTGGAGGTAGTATACACAGTCTCCCTTCATTGTATCCTTCCCACCACTGTGCAAGAGGGCTGAGAGTGAGAATGACTAACTCAAAGTCATCTAGTGAACTTCCTTGGTGGACGGTGGACTTGAATTTGTTCTAGTCCACCATGGTAACCACTAGACTATGCTCACTCCCCAATGGAGGACAGCATGGAGCTTATTAATATCAACAGCTAAGCAGAGTGTTATCACATTGCACATCTTATCTCATCAATCATCATCATCTCCTTTTAACAACTCCATAATCCTCTGTGGGATGGAGTCTGGGCAACTGAATGGAGCTGAGTGTTTACTGGCCAACCCCATAATCCTTTGTGGGATGGAGTCTGGGCAACTGAATGGAGCTGAGTGTTTACTGGCCAGATACCCTTCCTGTCACCAGTGCAGAGTTATATTCAGCAGATATATTCTTGACGTGCCCAGAGAGAGAAATATCTGCCTCTACCTAGGATTGAATTCATAGCCTCCTGATTGTGAAGTGAGAGCTCCACTGCTAGGCCACAGCACCACTCTCGTCACCCATGACTTCAAAAAATGAACTGCATGAAGCAGAAGTATTTCTGGAAGATAAGAAATCTCCTTCTATAATTCTATGGAAAGCAAGCAGGAATTTAATTATAAAATGATCAGCAAATGTGGATGACTCTAATGAGATTTCTGGTTTGGAATGTTGCACTTACCCAATAGCTTTATCATACTTTTTCTTCTCCCATTCAGTCTTGCTATATTTGCTGGAAAAATTAAATAAAGGAATGGTTTACAAATGAAAATGGTTTTGTCCCCGTAGTATGCCAATTGGAAAGCTAATCAGTTTGCTAGCATTTTATTCTGTCTTTTGAGTTGGGCTTTCAAACTGTTTATCTCTGAAGCCAATTTAACTTTGGCTTATAAACCTATTTCCGTGTTAAATTGTTTCTGAGACCGATCCTCTTTGTGTCATAGACACGGACTAATTCTTCAGGCAGCCTAAAAATTAGAGCACACTAAGGAGAGGGGAAAATGTAACCGTTCTATATTTCTTTCACATTTTTGCAAGCCTGACTGCAGCCTAAGGCAGGTAAGACAAGTCACTTGAAAAAGCCAGAGAAAAATAACATTTTCTTATTGGAAGGAGAAAAGAGGAAAATGCATTGCCTTCATGTGGAATTGTTTTTAAACATCTGAAAACTAGTTTACGTGTGATGTCCCACATTCCTGATAATGTATTCATCTGGTTTTGAAAAGTGAATTCCCCTAAATCTAGATGGGAAATCGCAGGTCTCAGTACCATTAAAAAAAAGGGGACAAATAACCCCTATTCCCTTAAATCAAGGGTTCCCAACCCCCGGCCCATGTCCCAATACCACCAGCACCTGCCTTACGCCCTCAAGCAAGATAGGCTGCATCTCAGGAGGCTTCTTATGTGAGAAGATTGTTAAAAGAGAAAGGAGTGATTTCGAATCTATTTACTCTCCCCCCCCACACCATCTTATCCTGCCTAAAAGGAAAATAAACCCAGTTACAGAGCTTATGGAATTGCAATGTAATCACATGCCCTGGATTACTGGGGTAGGGGTGTGTGCTGGGGGAGTGCTACTAAGATGGAGAATGGTGATTCTATTATTACATTTTGCACGACAATTATTCAACACCTTCCTGGGAGGAAAAAGTATCTGGGAGTGAAGAAAGAAAAGCTTGTCACTGGTGAAATGGTAGAAATACCCTAAGACATTTTGGATAGTTAGAGTTAATATTAGAGATAGCTCAGTAGGGCTTCAGCAGGGGGTTGGAGGTCCAAAGGTCCCTCCAACACTATTATTCTGTTTCTTAATCACTAAACTTTCAGTTAGAGGAGATATATGATACCATTCCCTTTAACTTTTAAACATCAATAACCCCCAAGAATATTTGTAGTTTAGGATTGAACTGTGAGGTCCTTGATGCTCTATGAATTTGGTTGTTTTCTTTCAGACATTTCATTACCAAGCTAGGTAACATCATCAGTAGCTCTGATTATATTACCTAGTTTGATAATGAAATGTCTGCAAGAAAACAATCAAGCTCAGAGAGCACCAAGGATCTCACAGTTCAATACTGAGCTACAAATATTCTTTTCTGCCAGTTTTTTTAAAGTCATGAGATGCCCATAGTCAACTGGAGTTAGCTGCTTTACCTAGCTAATCTCTCTCTCTCTCTCCCTCCCTCTTTCATGGATGCTTTTAATTGGAGAATTACATTCATGTCTGCAAAACTAATTCTGAATTAAAATCTCTAGGACAGAAACTTTGAGACAGAATAATAGGAACATTTGAAACTCCTATTTGTCTTTTGGAAGAGGAAGAATGACTTCATCTTGTTATGTGGAAAGGTGTATATTCTGATTTCCAATAAAGTTTAATTTGTCCTCTAAAATAGACAAATAGGCCAGCATTTTCCCTTAAAAGCAAAATTAACAAGTCACATTCAACATTCAATATATTTCTCCAATTGTTTTTTGAATTTTTGAATCCAGCATTCTCGGCTATTGTCTTTTTTTTTACAAAAATAAGAACTGGAATTTTATAGTATAGTAGGATTACTGATTGACATGTTACAATGCAATGTGATCATTGTAGGGATATCTGAGGTAGATATCTGAGGAATTCTCTTTCCTGCTATGAACCTGCTTTGTTATTTCTACCGGTATGAAAAGTCCTTTTGGAGATGTCCTGCTGCCCAAAGCTTGCTGAACTATCACATGGAAAAGAGGGCCTTCTCTTCTTTAGCTCTCATCTGGCCCTCAGGAAGTGCCCCAGAAGTCAACCCAACTGTAAGACTTGAAAAAAAAATCCCCCCTTGAGGAGACTTACAAATAGGCATGAGAGGAGACCATGGAATCTACTCAAACTCACAGATGAACAAAATCCTGAAACAGAGAAGAATGTTGAGGCTGTTGAAACTTCTAAGCAGAAGTTCCTTTTTTGATGAAGGCAAAATATAGCTTTCTATAACTTAAATCTATTAAATCAGGGCTGTCAAAACTCACGGCCCATGGGCTGGATGCGTCCTGTGCTGGCCACAACCACACCAGGTTTGGCGAAGGGGGAAAAAGTTACGATACATCACGTGACAAGGCCATGATAATGCGAGTTTGACACCCCTGTATTAGATGAAGACCGGACCTCTTAGAAATAAGACTTTGCATTTTTTTTATCTGAGAGATTTTCAGAATATTTACACTTTTACACACACACACACACACACACACACTTAAACTTTCATTGAGTCATTCCTTCAGCCTCATCAGTGGTAAGGAAAACATATTTCTTTCTTTCAACCTTTCTTTCTTGGTTCTTTTTATTGACTGACTTCTTTGTCCTCATCTGCACCTAGACTATGCAATCACTCCTTTCTCCCTCATCAAGGTCTTCTTGCAAGGAAGCCTTTCAGGGTCTTTAATAATATTAACAATAGGTACCTTGGATGCAATGCCAAAATAACTAACAGGAGCACCACCTGAACACCGTCAGCATTGACATCATTAGTCAATTGCAAAGGCAGCTTTACTTGGAACAGCTTACATCCTGGGATTATACCTTTAACATTATTAAACAAAACTGGAGTGACTCGATAGGTGGGCAAAAATGCCAAATTCAATCTAAACACCTGGTTGGCTGTGCAACTGCCATCACTATCACCAATAGTAATTAATTTATATAATGTCTGACTTTCGGTAGAGCCAACTTCCCAGATTTTGTTTTAGTTTATCCCCCTGAATCTCTTTTACAACTGTTTCCAAACTTTAGTGCAAAGCTTATAAAATAGAAAAGAAATATATGTATATATACCTTATTTCCTCTTTAGTGATTTCCCTTGATTGTGAAAGATGAAAAAAGAAAAGAAAAGAAAAGAAGTAAAAAAAAAAGTCTAAACGTGGATTCATGTTCATGATTTGTTAATGAAATAAATATATCAAAGCAAGGCATCTTATCCCATCCCTAGCCCAACCCCCAAGTAAAAGAATGTAAGAAAAGCAGAGTATTTTACATCAAGGAAAAAAGGGATGCAAACTGATCTTTCAAATGATTTATTAGATACTGTTGCTAATTCCAGCTTCAAACATTACCTATATTTGGGCTGAAGAGAGTCTAAGAGAATTTGCTGAGCTGCAGGTCCATCATGTTCAGCAAAGTATCTAGAAGGGAGAGTGAAAAACACATATGCATGACAGGTATTTTTTTTTCAACATCTGGATAGTCTTAGAATGCACAGACATACCACTCTCTGTGTGTAAGAAACTGAGACCTGTTCTTTCCGTAAATGAAGTACTCTCCTGTTAAAAATGATCTACCCTAGTGATTCTCAAATCTGTAGCCTGCGGATCCCGGGGGGTCACAATGTCATCACAGGGGGTCCGTGAAGTCTTGAAGAAATGCTATGATTTAAATTGTGAATTAAGTCTTGGGGATCCATGGCCACAAAAGACGTTAAGAGGGCCCATGGCAAAGAAAAGGTTGAGAACCACTGATCTAACCAAATGCATACCAGGAAATGTTCTTAACTTGTCTAAAAATATATGGGAACATACACCAACTGAAGAATCAAATCATTATATATGAGCACCACGGGTGGAAAAGGTAGAGATCTGATACTCCTATTTTTTTTAAAAAAACTGCTGACATTATAATTGTTGTGTTTAAAAACCAAACCCTTGGTTTAGTTTTCCTACACTGTAGGCGCTATCGTGTTGATTTTGAAGAAATTATCATCAACACAGGGACAGATAGTTGCAATGAATTGAATACAGACTACCCAAATGTTTGAAGAATAGTTTTCTTGACAAAGCCTGGATTTTTTTCCGAAAGAAAGAAAGAAAGAAAGAAAGAAAGAAAGAAAGAAAGAAAGAA